CTCCTTAGCACACAGATTATGAAGTCAAAGGTATTATTATCCATTACCCAAACTGATTCAGGATCAAGCCGACTTGACGAATCTAGTATTGGCTTATCTGCAATCTTTACCTAAATCATCTCCTTATCCTGTTTTTTCAGTTCTGATAGATGAGCTGTGGTTAAATGATCACAAGAATTGTTTCACCGTTTCCTATTGTGGCACCACCATTTTGAGTGGAAGATTGAATGATGTGGTGACATAGAAAGGTGCTCTCCCCAGATGCCTCCTTAAATTATTCATATCACTGATCAAAAGGTTCCTGCATGCTGCATGCTGCATGATGAGTTCTTTCCGCATCATATATATACACCCCCTACTTGTGGAAGTACTCTCTTGTTAGCACGACATTTTCTTGCATACATCTCCTTCTAAAGCTTCATTCAGAATGTTGAAGGTTTCAAAAAGGAGTGAAAGAAAATGTGGCCATTGAGCTTGTTTTTCCTTCCACCACAGCCGCCGCCACCGCTGCCACAGGAAGTGGAGACTGAGATCCAAGTCGCCCGCCTCCAGGTCATTGGTGGCGTGTCCGCCATCCTCCCCATCAGGAACGCCCCGTTCGAGCAGCGCCCCCACTCCGAAGTCCTGAGCGCGAGCGTGACCCTGCTGGTCATGAGCCTGTTCCTTGGGCTGTTTAACGTTCTGCTTGGGACGTCCTTGTGCCGGCGCTTTCCATGGGCTCTCTCGATCGTTAGGATACTAAACCGCATGAACATATCCGCCCTGGTTGCCGGTGCGTTGGTTTATGCTCTAGGATAGCTGAATTCGGCTGGTAAAGACAACGCTGCCCCCCTCCCTCCATCTTTGACCAAGACAATACTGCCCGCCAAATAAACTGTAATAATCGGAGTCCTTCAAGACCAAGCGAAGAAAACTAATTTATCTTTTTATTTTTTTTCCTTTCTTCTTCTCCGATACCTGTTGCTTTGTGGATTTTGTGTCTTGCGATTCTTCTTCCGCTCCTGCTATTCCTCACAAAAAAGACGACATTTTTTTCTGTGTCGAAATTTGTGACGTCAATCCTTGACCTTCGAGAAATGCTCTCTCTCTATCTCTCTCTTTCTCTCTCTCTCAAGCAATTTTCTCTATTTTGTGCCATCTGGGTCATGCCTGATTTTCTGTAACGAGCTCACTACTAGCAAGAACCAAGAGGATTCACCACTGTTGAGGTTGATCTTCCAGGTTTCGACGACTACCTGTCGTTCCTCTGCGGCATGAACGGGTCGGGCTCCGTAGTTCTGAACTACACCTACCATGGCTACGGCGGCGCCACCGTGGACGCCGCCGACCTCAACTTGCCCTCCATCATCGTCTCGCTGCTGGACCAGTCAAGAACCGTCTCGAGGAGGGTCACCAACGTCGCCGGTGACGAGACCTAGCCGTCAGCTGGAGCGCCTCCCCGCCCCCCCCTCTTCGGCGTCTCCGTCCCGCATCTTCATCGCCGCCGGCGGGAGTCGGGTTCCGACGGTCGTCGTGGAGATGGGGAAGGACATGAGCTCATAAAGAGCAAAACCCAAATTCACGCATCCAAAAAAAAAACCGAATTTGGCAAATTTCAATCGCGGACAGAAGTTACCCACCCAAAATGGGATCTCCTTGGACTCTGATGATAGCGGAGACCGATGAGGTGTTAGTCGATTTGTCGAGAATGAATTCAGACTAGACGCTGGATTAATGAAGAAATGGACTGAAGCGAAGTCAACTCAAATGAAGCCAATCAAAAATTAGCAGCCAATTAATCTGTCCATGGCTATGGTGGGGAGATATCCATAACACAAACTTTTAGAATTTCTTGGTTGAGACAAACAACACCAATGCAAATGGAGGCCAATCGGCGGATGAACTCAGCCGAGAAAATTTCCGCCCAGATGTCGCCAACCAAAAATTAGCAGCTACTCTATCTGTTCATGCTGTGAAGTGTCGCTTGGAATTCCTTGAGAAGAAAGACACGGATTAACGTGGAAATGGGCTGAAAGACCTACTTCTTGGCTTCCATGTTGACGAGGCGCTCTCGGCGAAGACGTCGGCGATGGCCCGGGCCCTGCGCAACATGTTGGCGCGAATCTCCCTGCCATGGCGGAGCCCGGGGAGATTAGCGGAGGCGGAGAGGGCGCTGGAGATGGTGATGCAGTCGCAGGCCGCCGCCGCCCCCTCGAAGCCCAGTCGCTGGAACAGGATCAGCGCCTCCTCCGGCGACCCGTTCTGAGCGAAGCTCGAGATCATGGAGTTCCAGGAGATGGAGTATGTTGGGCATTGTCTCGAACATCTAGCTGGCGAGGTTCAGACGGCAGCATTTCGCCTACAGGTCCGTGCCATCCTTCAGTGCATGGCAATGGAGCTCCTTCCCAGTCCTCAGGACCGCGAGGCTGGTACAGGCCCGGAGGACGCTGGCGATGGTGATTGCGCAGTCCGGCGAGCCATCTCTGTTATGCTGGAACTACATGCGTGTTGACTTTTTTAGATGGTGAATAAGCTTACTGAACTGCCCCGTTTGGACCCCCCTGAGAATTGCCTATTCATGGGCTTCATTTGATCTTAGAGGTCAAGTCTGAAACTTTTGGTTCGAGCATGATCTAAATGTAGAGGATCATGATGCACAACAGAGCCCAAAAGAAGTAGTAGGTACGTTCAGGTCAAGATCATGCCCATGCCAGTGCAAAAAAGTCGGAAAAAATTAAATATTTGCTTCAATCCGAATAGCCCAGGGCTCAAACTTTGTGCAATCTGAAGAGCCAAGAACATCATCACATACTACGTGAAGTGAATCAGAATCTTTGCGGAAGAAGCATAGAAATGGGTTTGACTTTTCTCTGGTGGACTGGAATTGGGAGTAAATGTGAACTGCCCCAGTATATGCTGCCACCTTGATCGATCTATTTCGAGATAATGGTGATTCTGTGGAGCCGTCTATTTAGTCATTGTAGATGCTCTCATTCCCATAGGAGATGCTTGTCAAAATCTTTCACCCGCCGTTCCTGATTCATTTACGAAGACCTTAGGCCAACCAAATGCTGGAAACCGCATGCATGCGTACGCTTGGTTATGAGCATGGCATGATCAGCACCTTCTTTCCTGTTCAGCATCTTCAGCGCCATTAAGAAAACCTCACACCTCCCTTGCGTGTATTGTTCTATAGTTTATAATATTATTAGTATTATTATTATTATTATTATTATATGATCCCCGTAAACCCCCTAAACCTTAAACCTCACACCCGTACCCCAGCTCTGACCTATCACTCCTCTGGTCAACGGAGTAGACTTCCTGCCGTGGGGTTTCTCATAGAGGATAGAATTCTTCGTTTAAAATGTGGGTCAAACTATTTCCCGAAAAAGGATACATAATGCGGGACGAGACGATGAAAGAAAGGATCGACGTAATGGGGGATACTAAAACATTACTGAGTGATTTCCCGCAATACTTGAAAGAAATGGATCGACGTGATTAATCAATCGTCAAATGATTAGGTTGCTCCACAATCAATAAATAGATAACATGCAAATCAAGTGGTTTGTCGCTAACCACCACCAGCTATGAAAATAAGTAGTCTATGGATCATACAACGTCAATATTGCTCAAATTTGGACAGAAGAGTACTTAGAGTTAACCCTGTCGCCAGAAGGGCGGCAGCGTTGTGGAGGAGCACTAGTTGAAGCTGGAACCCACGTGAAAAGTTGATCTTCCATTGACTGTTGACTAAGACGTTGACCGTTGACCAGGTGACCTGGTTGATTGACGGACTGGCTCGAACCGGAGGGTGACAATCGATCAACCAGGTCGGTCCGGTTGGCACCGGATTGTGAGCGGCCGATCGGTTCGACCTGAACCTAGACCGGTTCGGTCCAGCGGTTCGTGATACCGTGAAGTGGGACTTTAAGGCTTAACTAGTGGGAGAGAAAAAAAATGGGGAGGAGAACACAAACGGGCCTGCGGCTGAGGAAAGGAAGACGGTGGCGGCGGCAGTGGAACTGGCGGAGGGTTTGCAGGGATGGTGGCAGCGGACAGCGGCGGCGATGATGGCTATGGGTGAAGGTGGGTAGTGGGCGGCGGCGATGATGACGATGGGTTAAGGATGGTGGCGGCCGGCGGAGACTCAGGCAGGTAATGGCGACGGGCAGCGGCGAGCGACGGGATGGGCTAGGACGGTGGCGGCGGCGATGGGCAGTGGTGACGAACGGCGTCGAGTGCTGGATGAAGGCGGAACGATGAAGGATGAAGGTGGTAGATGGGTAGACAGAGGAAGGCGGCAGCGGACGGCGACGGTGAAGTATGGCGGCGGTGGCGATGGATAAGTGACCCTACGGCCTCTCCTTGCGGAGCGAAAGAGGTAAACCTCGAACTAATCTCTTCTCTAATTATTCTTAGGGCTGCACGAGGTTATTTATAACCTCTCGAGAAGGAATCCTGGGTTAATGGACTTGGTCGGTGCGCTATTGACGCGGTCGTAGGCTCCGTCTTCTTCCCTCCTCACTGATACATGCACGCTGGATTCCCTCGGCGGGGTGGAAGGAGACCTGCCGCCGAAAACCAAGGATGTCTTCTCTCTGGACGAAATAAGGGCCACGTCTCTTTGTAACAAGCCAACCTCATAGGCAAGGATTATTTTTCAACGTCTTCTGGGGCCCACCAGCGGCGTCCATAAATCCAACCTCTTCACCTTTTTTCTTCTGGACTGTTCCGAAGAAATCCGTTCTCGTCTCCATGATGATCCGTCTCCGCCGGTTTCCCCTCCTGAAAAGCAGGAGAGGGAGATTCTTCCCACGGCGGTTCTTGAGAAGGGTACTTTCTTCCCCCCCTTTTAGGTCTTTTCCAAATTGCACCTTGAAGCCAGTGTGCGCTACGCAGAGTCGGCCCTCTGTCTATCTATCTATCAACCTTCCGACTTGGCCATCTCTCTATCCTATCTGAGTGAGAACCTTGGACTTTGTTTTGTGATTATCCCGCAGGTTGGAAGGCCGGAGATGTCGGAATCTCTTGCCTGGATTTTCTCTCTGTTTAGAGGGCGGCTTAAGACGCCGGCAATTGCGACAGACGCTGATCGCGCTAACGTAGCAGAGGACGGGGCCCCCTTAAGGGAGGCTCAAGAGCTCGCCAACGAAATCAGGGGAGAGAAGCAGACGGCCATGGCCCTGTTCGGGCTCTCGGCTGTTCTTCTGGCGACCATTATTACAGCGTCGCTTAATCATCCCTCGCACCAGACCATCTTACGGCGTTGCCTCGTCCTGCTGTTTTTCTGTAGTTTCAACCTCAGCCTGCTCGCATACCTGTTGGCGGCCTGCTCCGAGAAGTCGCCGGGCATCGCCAGGTGGGCCAGTAACCTCAACTGCGGCAGCATCATTGCCATCGCCCTCTGCTTGCCGGTGTGGGTCATAGGGCAACTCTCTGTACGGTGATGCGCCTTCCATCTACCCAAACATCCCATCTTTTTTCCTCCCTTGTCTTATGAACTTCTCTAGGTCTGTTCTTCACTAGTTTCATCCCAAGTTTTCTTCTTTGATTTTAGGGTTGATTCTGATAGGTTGACTCAGTCAGCCAGCCAGCCAGCCCTGTATATTTTTATTGACTGGATAATAAACCTTTTGTCTCTTCCGGAGAAAGACAAAAAAGGCGATCTTTTTCATTGCCATCACCAGCTATGTTGCGTACAATGCTAATCACGTTGAAACCCCAGATGTGTTTGACGAGGAAATCGAGGTGACGTAGAGCCGCTGTCCATATTAGGGCCGAATGATATGATGTGGCGAGATCTCCAGCCTCCACCTAGATTTTTGGATCATTTGCTGACGTGGAATAGGGTGGCCCAGGTGGAACGGCGCGGGGTCCACCCGACAATTGAAAGAAAAACGAAGGGATCAGGCGGCGGCTTCTCCAGTCCCAATGGACGGGGCAGACGCCCGTCCCTCCATCTCCTTCCATTCGTAGTGGAAAGGCGCTTCGCCCTCTCCGTTCCACATCACATCCGGACAAAAACGGGACAGAGGCGCGCCGCCGCCATCTGCCAACTGAGGAGGGGAATCCCGGCAGCTGGCTCCACTACCACGCCGGCGGGAAAATGGGGAAGGACGGCGTAAATGGACGCAATGGACGACAAACGGTTCGTTGTCTGCAAGTACGACTTTCAGCGCGTTGTGGATAAAGTGTGGGGCCCATTTCACGATCCTACATACCTCAAGCCACAGCAACTGAATAACATGACGGCCAGTTGACGGCACCAAGTAACATCCATAAATAGACATCAAACGATTACTTGTGAAAAATATCACTCTACATGCGTTATCTATCCATAATAAATGACCTCAAAATAGCACCTTAGTATGCCCAGATTTAAAATTTCGTAGGATCTAGCGTAAAGTCAAATCTCACAATATTGGTATCAAGGAAATATCATCATTTCATGATGAGATTCTTGTAAAACTTTCTTCACAATTTACGTAAGCAATGACCTCATCAAAATTCGAAAGAGGAAGCATCTCCAGTCTTTATCTCCACCTGTCTTGCATCGTCGCTTTATCTCTCATTTTATTACCCTCATTTCTCCTGATTTCTCCTGAGTTCAAGTGACCTCCGTACTAAACGCTAGATCCAACGTCACACTCCCAAAACCCAGACAAATGCCAAATCCGCTGGGCATTAGATATCTTGCGTGCTTGCCGAGGGGATCTGTATCACCCTTCATATTCGGCTGAAGACGACTCTATAGGGATGATTGTGACTTACGAATACGACTTCGGAACCCTCCCGCAAGCTTCATAACAAAATAGGTTCTAAAATCTGCAACTGATCTTCTTGAACGGGTTGAAATGATGAACCTTATTTTAAGCTCCTGAAAACACCGTTAAGACCGGGTCTTCGCTTGGTTTAAAACCATTCATCCAGACATCGAATTATGTTAGAAATAAGCCACCAAAACTAGATATTCATTTAGAAAGAGCAAATCCCAGAGGTTGGACGAAGCTGAGGCCCCAACCACCACCCATGAAACATAGAATCAAGGGAATCAAATGGTTTCAAAATACTTGAAGATATTATGTTTGTCTGACCCTGTGACGTATGAGTGGTCAAGGAAGATCTGCGCCTGGGAGGTGATCGGCGTGAGAATCCCTCCCCAGCATTGCAGGCGTAATACTGCGACGGCTGAAACATCAATAAGTCTTCTCTGAGCTGGCATCCATCAGTTGTTGAATCTAGATGGTCCTAAGACCGTACAGAGAAGACGACGAGGCATGATTGAGACATCTCCGAATAGATGAAGATCGATTGGCAACAATATCATGAACTACCACAAGATAACAGTGGAATCAATAATTTTCTTCCTGCCTCCTCTCTGTAACGCTACGTGACTCTTCGCTGTTGGATATGGCAGCCGCCCATGTGCAGCGGGGACCGGAGCTGCCATTCCTGTCGGCTCCCCCCACCCCTGTCCACCCAGCACCAACTTCCTTCCATGCTCGCTCATCTCCTTCCACCGACACAAAGCCCAGCAGGTTTCAAATCGCCCTCCCTACACTTTCCTGTTCCAAGACGAAAAATTCCAGTACTTCTCCAGCATCTCAATGGGTGATACCCTCACAGGTTTGTATGGAATTCATTACTCTCCATGACGACCTCAACGTTGAAAGTCATTCCATCGATAGGCGCACTGGTTCCCATAGGAGCCGTCTATTTAGTCATTGTAGATGCTCTCATTCCCATAGGAGATGCTTGTCAAATTCTTTCACCCGCCGTTCCTGATTCATTTACGAAGATCTTGGGTCAACCATATTCTGGAAACTGCATGCATGCGTACGCTTGGTTATGAGCATGGAATGCTCGGCGTTTTCTTTCCTGTTCAGCATCTTCAGCGCCATTAAAAAAACCTCACACCTCCCTTGCGTGTATTGTTCTATAATTTATTATTATTATTATTATTATTATTATTATTATTATTATTATTATTATTATTATTATTATTATTATGATGATGATGATGTGATCCCCCTAAATCCCGTAAACCTTACACCTCACACCCCCAACCCGCAAAGTTGATCTTCGGTCGGTGGTTCTTGAGGGAGAGGTACTTTCTTATGGGGTAGCACCCCTCTTGTGCGCCAGTTCTGAGGTGAGAAATTGATGCGATCTTCGCCGCAACCATTCCCACAAGGAAAGGGCGCCACTCCGCAAGGCGAGGAAAGCAAGAGATAAGGCAAGCCAATCAGACCGAGGCAAGAGGAGAGCTTATTGTAGCAAGTGAAAATACTGGAAATGAAGTTATGGAAGCTACAATGGGAGGAAATCCATCCATAAAGCACAATGGAATCAGATTCGATATTCTCGTATCGGGTCGATATAAATATGTGTACCCGTATCTTTTTTTGACCTAATCTTAACTCCGCCATTTTCTTTCTCTCTCTCCACTCTCACTAGCCAACGGCTCTCTCCTCGCTGGGGGCGTCTTTTTCCGGCGAGCTTTGATCAGAGAGGTTCGAACATGGTATCAGAGCATTCCAGGTGAACTCGTTCCACCTCTAACCCTCTGAAGATTCATTATGTGGTTGGCTCGTTCTAAAAAGAGGGGAAATCGCTACTCTGCCCTAATTTCTTTACAAGAACTCGCTTGCGTGCGATTTTTTGTCAGTGTCTTGATTTCACTGTTATAGAAAACCTCCCTTGCTTTCTGGCCTCTCCTTCCCTGTTTGCAGGTGAGAGAACGGATAGATATCCGTCTAGAGAGAGGGCTTTGTTATTTACACGACCCTTGTTTTCTCTATTTGGCCCTATACTTCCTCGTGGAGAATAGGAGCACAGCACTAGCTGGCTGAGACAAGACGTTTCTTCTATGTCTGAGATCACATATATGACGTCTTTAGCAACATAGATAACTGATATGTCCAAATATGCATTAGAGCTACCAAACATTCCAAATGAATTCAAATTGATTCTTAGAAACTTACTTCAATGATGTCAATTCATTGAGACGATTCTCACAAGAAAAGATAAATTAAACCACCTTTTAGATCTAGCACCTGAATCAAGTGATCTTAAATTCAGGTTACGGAAGAAAGAGGATTTTATAATCAAGTCAGTGCTCTAGCGCATGATGACCTCATAGATCAATACACATTATCTATTTCTTCCAATTGCAAGAGACATTTAGGAGAAGCTAACAAGGCCTTTTCAAAGGAGCATGATGAAACCTAGGTTTTTCAACTCATGTCAAATCCTATGAGTCTAAAACAAGGCAAAAAATCAGTCCAAAAATATGCAAATGAATTAGAGTCTCTATGGCTTGAAATTGATTGATATAGACCAATTATTATCAAAGATCCTCAAGATGTTTTTTTTTTCAAGAAATATATTGAGACTGATTGGATTTACAAATTTATTAATGATCCTAATCTTGAGTGTGATCAAATTTGTGCACAAATTTTAGGAAGAGAAAAAATTCTAGATCTAGAAGAAGTCACTACATTAGTGAGAAATGAGGAAAGTATAAGTTTTATGGTAGAGCCACAAACTACGAATAACTCTACATTTATGGTTAAACACAAAGGAGAAGGCCTAGCACAATAACCAAGTCTAAAAGTAGTAAAAAAAAAGGTAATTATGGAGATAACGTGTGGTGCACCTACTGTAAGTGGACACAACACACTTGTGAAAGATGCTACAAACTTCATAGGCAACCTCAATCAAGAGGTCAAGTTCATCTTGTCACTATGTTGACTTCAAATGGAGTGGTAACTTTGGAGATGAACCCTATTGGAGTGTGAGAGGACTAAATGTTGAGATTGACAAGTTGGCATCAACTATGACATCAAACTTGCAAGCTCTTCTAGTGAGTCTCAATGATCTTTTATATTACATATGATGTGTAATTCATTTTCTACATCATGGTTCTTAGATATTGGAGCCAGTGACCATATAATTAATACTGTAAATTATTTTTTAACTTATAATACTTGTCCACCTAATAGTAAAGTGGTGACAATTGATAAATCTCTAATTTCTATAGTGGACATAGGTAATATGAAAATTGATTATTTAGGTATCATAAAAAATGTATTACATGCCCCTAAGCTTTCCACAAATCTAATATTTGTTAAGAAATTAATAGATAATATAAATTTTAGGGTGACTATTGATAGTAACATATGTGATATATATGAAAAGGTGACAAACAAGAAGATTGGATGTGCTGAACTTACACGACACACTTGCAATCTCCATTAGGGCGAGAGATGACGAACATACTGCACCTAGGAACTTTTTTTATATCATCGCTATCTTGGACATCCTTCTTTCAAGACATTAAAACTTTTCTTTTTTAAAGTTGTCTTCAAAATTTAATATTGATGGATTTGAATGTGATGTGTGTAAATTTTCAAAACATAAAAGAATATTTTTTCTCATGAGTGAC